GAAGAACAATGAAAACAAAACCAAAAGGGCGTAATTTAGTATAATCAGACGACTGACCGTACAACCTTTCAAAATGACTAATGTCTCGAAGGACTGATGAGGGTAATCGATTGATAACATAAATAGCAGTCAAGGTTGCCTCACCCCAAAAATGATCAGGACACTGAGCATTAAGGAGAAGAGCACGAACAACATCAAGAATGTAAAGATGCTTACATTCAACTCGTCCATTTTGTTGAAAAGTATAAGGACATGAACGTTGAACTATTGTGCCCTGATCAGAAAGAAATTTTAAAAAGGTAAAATCCTTGTACTCAAGGACATTGTCAGTACGCAAGACCTTTAGACGAGAAAATTGTGTGTGAATATTCTAGCAAATTGAATATATATGGTGAGCAACTCAGAACGATGTTTAAGAAAATAAATCCAGGTAAAACGAGAAAATCATCAACAAAAATAACAAAGTACCGAAAACCATTCATAGAAGCAATCGGAGAAGGACCCCAAATATTAGAATGTACCACACAAAAAGGTTTATCAGCAGTTGACAAATTCTCAGAAAAAGAAAGAGTCGAGTGTTTCCCAAGTTTACAATGAAGACAACTAAAAGACTCAAAATGATGTGGACATAAAAGACATTTATTATATAAAGAATGAACTTTATTTGAAGACGCATGCCCATGACGAAGATGCCACTGAAAGCTGGGCTTATTATCAATGCAAGAGTAGAAAATGAGGAAGAACGAGGGATATGAAGAGACTCAAGCTCAAATAACCGTCCCATCTTGCGACTCGTCCCGAGAAGTAGATCTGTCTACGTATCATGAACTTGAACACCAGAAGATGAAAATACAACACTAAGGCCTTGTTCAACCAATTGACCAACTGAAATAAGATTCAAGGCCAAGTACAAAATACAGTATGTGTCGGGTAGGTGTAAAGAAAGGGGAAGAAACCCGACCAGTTTGAGTAATATTCATATAAGTACCATTGGCAGTATGTATAGGAGGTAAAGAAGTTACGAAAGATGAGAAAGACAAAAAACTGTGGATTAGAGGTAATGTGATTGCAACAACCAGAATCAAAGTACCAATGAGGGTAACCTGCGGTAGCAGACATAGTAGAATTAGAATGGATAATCTGTTTGAGAATAATTTCTATATCTTGAAGAGTGTAAGACAAGTGTTGAAGCTCATTAGTGACAATTGCTGCAACCGAAGAAGGGGTCGATGAAGAAGACCCACGGGACCCTCAAAATCGAGAAAATGAACCTTCTGAACGTTGTGACTTGGCTGGACAATTTGGAGCAATATAACCCGAGCATGGCAGATGTGGCACTCCACTTTAGGATAAATGGCAAAAGGGTGATCAGTGCTCTCACAACACCTACAATTAACAGAGACTGGTGGCTGAGGTTGATGTGACAGACCGGAAGCAGAAGTAGACACAACTAATGCAGACTCAAGCTATGGTGTCCTGGCCAACTGAGGATGAGTCTCCCCAAAAGTGATCTCTTGAATAGCAGCATCAAGAGTAGGCAATGGATGACGATGTAAGAGAGAAACACGAACAGCTTCATACTCCGGACGAAGAGCCATCAAAATCTGAATAAGATCAAGGTGATCCAAACTAATCTCAGCCTGTCGGAGACGATACCAGATAGGTTGAACTTGTGCAAGAAACTCATTGACCGATTGACTCAGTTGCTGCTTGGTGGAATGCAAGGTGCTCCAAAGTTGATAATAGTGAGCCAAGCTTGTAGTCTGAAATCGAGCAACCAAAAAATTCCAAGCCTCCTTTGCACTCTCAAACGTGTGAAGCTACACCTGAATAGCAGGGACTGAAGTATTACGTAACCATTTAAGAATATGATGGTTTTTGCTATCCCAACCCTCTAACTTTTCGACATAAGTTGTAAGAGCCTGTGGTGTGGGGTTGCGATTCCCTGAAGGAGGCAAGTGCAGAGGTAGCAACACATCACCAGTCACAATCCGCTACAATTTTCTCCCAATTAAAAAACTCTTCATAGATTGTGCCCAAAGACTATAATTATCTCCTGATAAGACAACACGAATAGGAGAATGTACATCCATACGTTCCATCCAATAAATCAGATCAACACAATACCACGAAAAATATAAAAATATAGGCACAAATCGGATCACAAAATCGTCAAAATATCAATACGGGCAGAAATAAAAAACTTCACGAAAACAAAAACCGACCACATCAAACGACGAGGAGAGGAGTCGACGGTTGAAAAACGACGGCGATCGGAGATGAGGGTGAGCCTCACGTGCCGGTGGAAGCTGTTGGCGCTGTCGTAGAGACGGGGCGCGTGTGGGCCTCACGTGCCGACGAATCGGCCGAAATTTTGAGCGTCGGCTCGCCGGAGGATGCCAGAGAGGATGGTGTGAGAGGTGAGAGTTGACGACGGCTGGAGAAGAGCGACAAAATACCAAGCCTATATTGGACTTTAAACCTAATCTGATACCATGTGAGAATGTGAGTAAAATATCTGATGTATTAATCACAAAGATATATACATATATTTAAAGACAAAACATAGTTCCGCTTATGTTAGCCTATAATCTAATTTAACCCTACAATACATTAAAACTACTACCTCATATTTTTAATATATGTCGTTTTGAGAAGTTGCACGTTAATTAAGAATATTTTTTTTGTCAATAATAACCTTATTTAATGAAGATAGAGATGAATGTTTTGAGAACAAATGAATAGTGAATATGAAAAGACGTAATGTATTTATTGGCTAAATAAGGATAATAATGGGAAAATATGCACAAAAGATCTAAGACATTTATTTGACAAATAGTTGATAAAACTAGAATGACATGTAAAAAAAAATAAGAGCGGAGTATATAATTAACACCATAACATCTTAGGATGAAAAGATCATACATAAAACTTAGCAAATGCCTCAAAATTCATAAAGTAGTTTGGTGAAGATAAACTATGAACATTTTGTCTTTTTGACGTTCAAGATTTTCCCTCCAAAATTTGTGCATTGATTGACGGACCACGTTGACCTGAAACTATAGTGACAGAGAAATGTAAACTCATTTATTTTACCTGCCATGTGAGAAATACGCAAAATAATAATAATAATAAATCTCGAGACGATTTTTTGATACGCTAAAAGTCACGCGATGGACCAATTTATCGCTATTCAATAATAAGAATAATAATCAACAAAGAAAAATAATTTGAATTGATGTATTAACGTATCAATCAATTAAATATTAAAGGCATAAGCATTTTTTATGTTTAAATGCACCTGCGTTCATTTTGATGAAGAACAGGAGCCAAAAAGTGATGATTAAAAAACCCTAGTACTAATACTCATGTACAACATCGAGTGTTGAGTTAATGAATATATATGTAAAATTATTTATGTCTAATACTAAATAGGTGTGTTCACGGTCCGGTTTTAACCGAAAAAATCGTCAATCAGGACCGCGAATCGGTTAAATGGTCAGTTAAAAAAGACTTACAAAATCTGGTGGTTAATTTTTTTAAAAATCTGCAATAACTGGTCCGGTTAACGAATTACATGCGGCAAACCGCCGGTTTAACCGGACCGGATCGGTAAATATTAAAAAAGTATAACAAATATATATATACATTAAGTCATTCACTATAGCGGACAAATAAAATACATCACTTTCAGTTTTTGGCCTTTTGTTGACTTAAATTTTGTAAGACACTATAACATTTCACTTTTTCTCATCTTTGTTTTTTCATTTTCAGATTTTTCCTCCTTCACTTTTTTCCACCTTCGTTTTTTTTATGCTTATGGGACGAATTGTGTATTTTTTATTTCATTATTGTTGTTTTTCTTAATTTTAGGCCCAAATAATATCTTTTTGGGCCCAAAATTAAAAAATAAAAATTAAGCCTAAAATGAAAAAAATAAAAATTGAAGGCCCAAAACAATGATTTTGGATTTAACCGGTTAACCGCCAAACTGGACCGTCCAATGCGGTCCGGATAGTGGCTGGTTAAAAAATAAAACCGATCCAGTTATGAACAAGAAAAAAATTAACCGTTAGGTCCGGTTTGGTCATGGTTTGGGCTAAAACCGGACCATTCCGGACCGTGAACACCTTTAGTACTAAACCTAACTCCAGAGAAAAAATAATATAAAAACAACATCACGAAGCATAGATTTTCGCCATGTCAGCATCCGAAGCGTGAAAATCTGCCACCTAGGCTCAACACGTTTTGAATTAATGTATATGGAGTGATAATAAAATAAAAGAATTTCTGTTATCTTATACCATGACACACCAGAAGTTGTATTTATCTAAAATTGTTAAACGAAACGAGCTTCTAGTATGCGAGCTCGAGTCGTGCTTGCACTCGTACTTGGCTTGATTCATAAACAAATGAACCTGTTTAATTAACAAGTCAAGCTTAAGTCTGACTCGTTAAGGCTCGAAAATAAAAATTTATGTGTAATTTTCCATAGCACTACTTGTTAAAGCTCAAACTCGTTTTTGTTAATATTAATAAACGAGCCGACATCGACTCATCTCGATAAAGCTCAAACTCGACTCGTTTTTATCTTCAATATAAAGTATAAACACATGCCTGCAGCCATCATCAGTAGCACCCAAAACATTTCCATTAGACTGCAATTTTCTTGTTTTCTTATGGCAGTTCTTTGGCAGTGGGAATTTCGTCTTTTGTTCCTATTCACGTGTGTTGTATAAGAAACATTATTATTTTTTCTATAACTATAATAATCTGAAAAATCTATTAAAACCCAAACTAATTTGAAGAATAAATAACACATTTTCATACAACAGATTTATCCTTAATTAATTAACCAATCCTCTCCCTCAACATGAAACACTGATGACTAACTTAACTCAGTGATCATCATCTCTACAAAGCAAGCAAATTCCTCCTCTTCACTCTTTTGTTCCTATACATTTAAAAAAAAAAAGAAAAACCTTCATTTTTTCGAACTCTCAATCGTACGACATGCGTACCCGCTCGAGCGCATCACACACGTGCCTCATCATGGGCCTCCTCTCGGGCCCGACCTGCACGCACGCCATCGCAATCTTCAAAACCCCCATCATCTCCCCTTCTCTCCCCTCCTCCTCTCGGGCTGCAAGGCTCGCATCCAAAACATCTGAAACGGGCCTCCTCTCCTCAACACACAACTCGATCCACCGGACGAGTTCCATCTCCGAGCCCCCAGCCTGCACCACAGGCGGCCTACCCGTCAGCATCTCGAGCAGTATCAGCCCAAACGAGTAAACGTCCCATTTCTGGGAAGGCTTCATGGCCTGGGGGGCCTCAGGGGCCAGGTAAGACGAGCCGAACGAGCCGGACGAGGAGAGCACGTGGCCCGGCTCCATGGACTGGGCTGTCTCGAAGGTTGCTGCCGTGCGGCCTGAGACAGTGGTGGGTGACCCACTGGTGATGGTGGCACCGGTTATGGTGGCGAGACGGGCCAGGCCGAAGTCTGAGATGACTGGCTCAAGATCGGGCCTGAGGAGGATGTTGGATGGCCTGAGGTTGCCGTGGACGTACTTCTTGGGGCTGTAATCATGGATGTAGGCAAGGCCTCGGGCGACACCTCGCATGATCTTGAGACGCGCGTCCCATGGGAGAGGGTTGAATGTGAGGCCCGGTTTTCCTGCCGAGAGCGTGGAAATGCTAAAGATGATAAATGGGGTGATATTATACGAGAAACTAGAAAAAGGGACCTAAAAACCAACAAACAAGCAAGCCTAAAAAATGGATATATTCTAAATTTTGGATTACATGGTTTGTAGGAATTCATCTTCCGAAAAAGTGAAAAATAATCGACACAAATATACATCTAAGACGGCTCATATCAAAGTTAGACATGCAGAAAAAAAAAAAAAA